ATAATAATAATAATAATAATACAAGTAGCAACAAATAACCAGTATTTAGTAATTTGTCCCAAACAACCTAGATGCATCTCTTTAGCACAGAGATGTATAATAAATATAAACCTTGATTCTCGCAGAATTACGATTCGTAAGCCTAAATGTGGACTGGCCAGTCTATTTTCCGTACCGACCAGACCACACACGCACACCTGATTTGTCGGGCAAATGTCTCTCAGAATCAAGTCAAGCGAGACGGGATGAAATAGGGAGGGGGTGGGATGGGAAGAGAAGGGTAAAAGTGACTGTCAAGACAATAATTGTCTTGGTGTCCGCATTTTGTTAGCACAGAATATGATGCGCTGTTTTAATTATTATCTCTGACAGTTTGCCATTTCTGAAGCCATACTAAATTGACTTTATGGTTGCGAAGTTGACCTTCGTATACCGTTTACGGTTCACATCCGAGTATTTTTAGAATCACGCTACTCTATGTGTGTCACCTCACTCAGCTTTATTTGACGTACTTAGCATAAATTTCCCATGGACCCACGACTTTAACCTTGACATAACTAATTGAATCTGCGAGAACTTTAAATTAGTACAAAAGCTAAACAGCACACAACCATGCAAAACTACTGCTAGCAAAACAATAACGACAAATCCAATTCTTGTCCCGAAAAGTGGCTCAACTCTAAAGAAAGATGAATCTAATTATTACTTCTTGACTTCGTAAATTTGGTTTTTAAAAAAGAAACACAAAACCTAGATATCTATTTATAAAGGGAAGAGAATGTTTCAACCACTGAAGACAATTTTTGGTCACAGCAATGCGTGTATCAATCTTTCTGATCTCCTCATTTCAACTAGACGTTTTGAAATCCGAAAAAGGATAAAACCCTTAGGTACTAATTCTGTCCCTACAAAAGAGGATGGCTGCGGTGTCAAACCGATATTGAACAGTGCCGGAAATGAAAGTAAAAGGTTCGAATCCGACTGATATTCTTTGTTCCCCCAGTCTGTCAGGGGGTATTTCTCTGCTGTAACTCAGTGTCCTGTCAGGGATTTTTTAATGGTCTACTCCAAGACACGACATTCGTTTTCTCTTGCACGGCGGAAAACGTTAATTGTCAAACATGTTCTCTCTGTCTCTCTGTCTCTCTCCCTCTACCTCTCTCTCTCTGTCTCTCTATCTATCTATCTATCTATTTATCTATCTCGCTCTCGATCACTTTCCCTCTGCATCCCCCCTCTCTCTGTGCCTCCCCCTCTCTGTCTGTCTGTCTGTCTATCTGTCTGTCTCTATCTATCTATCTATCTATTTATCTATTTATCTATCTATCTATCTATCTATCTATCTATCTAT